GCACTGCGTCGTGTCTTAATTAAATATAATTAGATATAAAAAATAAAGAATTGAAATTTTATTTGTTAATTAAAAGCTAGAAGACTGGACAGCCTCGTTGATTACGCTCAACATTCTTTTTCGATAGAATTTTTTCTCTCGTAATATAAACCTTCCTGAATCGCTCTATTCATTGTATGCCAGATATAACGCGAAGATATCAAAACTATCCGTAAGAGAATACGTATAGTGTCATTGAGACGCGCGATAAGACTTACCTAATGTGACCACTGTCACCGCTACTGCTTTGTCTGCTGTGTTGGCTATGCGAATTCAAAGAACCGTAGCCGGACCCTTTGCTAAGCTGGCTGGTATTGCTGCTGTTGCGTGAGTGACCCGATTCCGTGTGCGTTTCCACGAGAGTTTCCACCGGAATTACTGAGGGTACGATCTCGCCAATAGTCATCGGGTCGTACGTCTCCGTGCCGCTAAGAAGTTCTAAATCACATACAAATTATTTAAAAGATTTTTCCCTTTGCTCTCTCTTCAAAATTACTCATTTCAGAGTCTATATAATCTCTTTAGCGTTTTATAAAACCATATATAAATGTGCTCTTGTATGTGTGTATCAATTATGATTCAAAATTTTATAAATAATTTATATATAGATGATATAAAAAAGAAACGGGCAAAGTACCGGAGGCGAAGAGTGCGGGCCTTTTTTTGGGAAGACTACCGAAACCGCTACTGGCGCTAGCTATACTTCCCGCCAGCGAGCCGGTAGACACGTAATCCTCTCGATTAGTACATCTCTCGGATGCTGTCACTTCATCACCGGTAACGCCAGGTACACCTTGCACCCCGGGCACTGCTAGCTGCGTCTGCTTTAATGACGGGGAAGGGCTGGGGAATATAATAATCGATCGGTTAACCAAAGGATTCTGTACGACGAATGAAACAAGAGAAATCAAAGGCGTGTAATAAGATATCGTTATAGTACAAATAACTAATACATAGAAACGTACAATTTGCTTTCACGCAGTATAGAAAAAAAGCAGAAGATACGTTACAAATTTTTTTGTAAGATGCTATTATTTAGATATTAATTTACTAGATTAGCGGCTTAATTAAAAAAAAAAAAAAATGGTTTAATTTAAAAAGTTTCGTGTCACTTAAATCTGTTTAACAATACTTCAAATATGTTGTAATGGCATTATTTATAAGAGTGAAAATAATAGTTTGCGGGTACATATTTCTGTTATAACAGAGATCTTCAAAGAACTCTTTGAGGCAATAATCTTCGCGTAAGGTTCAAAAATGTTAGCTAAGCTGCTGCTTCAGATAGACAAATTGCGTCTTACACTTTAAACAGAATATCTCCGGAGAGCATGTTCATCTTGATGGCTACGCGCAGCATGGAGTTATCCTGACGATGTCGCGCGTCGTATCCCTCCAGAAGGCATCTTCTTCGGCAGAGACCAGCTCCTGCGAATTCGGCCAGGTTCAAATCGGTGAAACCCAATTTCTGGAAGGATCTGCCCCCTTTCAATTCCTGCAATGTAAAAAAAAATTAATGAAAAATAATAGCGTTTAATTATTTTTCTAAAAACATTTTTGTGATAAAACACAGTGCTTCTGAATAAGAGCACAATCTTAATTAATTCTAAAAAATACAAGTACCGATAAATTCAAATAATCTTGATCCAAATGCTTCAAATCAAGGGAATTTCATATTCGTATTTGTTCGAATTAGCGAAGTAATGAAATTATTCAAATATTCGAAGTTCTCATTCGTCTCTCTCTGTATATAACGTTTCATTTTAATACAATTTTATATATAAAACGGCACACAAAAAAAATGTGAAATTATATTATTTCGCAGCGCGTCGGCTCCTACACTGTCAAATTTTGTACGTACAAGAGAGCAGATAAAAAGTAAAATGTTGGAAAATAAAAGTTGGAAACAGTCCATATCTCTCTCTTCAGACTGTACTCCCAGCGCGGAGTTGCTCATCTATTCAGCTCAAACAGAAAGTAAGTTTGCTCTCACCTTTCTCACGGATATCCTTAAAATGCATGGATCTAGCACGCCTGTGGACGCATTGGCGCTCATCTTGCATAAAAACTCGAACTTCGCATTCCACCTCACTGTATGCTCCTGCACTTCCTCTCTGCAAAGATAGAAAACATTTCGGATGAAACTTGAGATTGATATCTGGGCATGCTACTTTGTATATTGCGCCAGAGATAATACTTTCACTATTGCTTAAAGCTTAAAGTATACTAATTACTAAGGGTACATTCAATATCTTAGATTTTTAATTGAAAAAGGTGATTATAAAAACTGATTGATATATTCTGTCCCAAATTTTAAAAAATGCAGTGCAATCTTGTTTTATAATTTTATATTAATTATTTTTATTAATTAGTTTTATATTAATTATTTTAACACTCATTATGTCAAAAATATCATTATCTAACTTCTTATAATCTTCTTTAAATACCTTAATATTTAAGTTTCAACATAAATTGTTATAAATAATTTGTTAATTTAAAGTTTCTCTCTCTCTCTCTCTCGATTTAAAATTGTGACTAAAATTCCTTCTATATATACCATCAAAATAAAAATTAAAAGTTCTTCACAACCTTCGATCTATTTTGCCAGTAAAGCGTCACTGAGAAAAAATAAATTATGCATTCGAATAAAAAAATCTATCGCTAAAAGGAAACGCATTCTATGGAACAGCTCGTACATACTTGAGAGAGAGAAAATGCATTCTAGGATAACCCGTGTACTTAAGGAAAATGCAAAGTAACGTTCGAAAGCATAAAAGATCGAGGAGTCTGTGCTTCACTAGCGCGACTAGAGTATAGAAATGACGCTTCGAAAATTTTTATCGTCGAAATAAAATCACACAATTTATATCCGACGATTCTCCATCATTTTTAATAACGCTTCGCATTTCCTGAGGATGCGTAGGCTGCGACTTCCGTGTGGCGACGCATTTCACGCAAAGTATGTGCGCACAGTACAAAGAAGGAGAGAGAAAAAGAGAGAGAACTTCCTGGGAAGACGTATATATACCGTCTAATGCAAATGAAGGCAAATTGGCGCGTATGCATAATGCCGCACGATCAGCATTTCAGTCGGTGTTGGGAACACGAGAACGTCCATGAATCATGATCCAAAATGACACCGCGGAGCCCTTGACCGATATATCTTATTAATGAAACGGGAAGATTAATATTCGAGTTCGGGTTTTACTTCCGATAAGAGTACTTCCGGCGCGCTTCCATCGGGGAATCCGGTGAACAGGTTGATGGTACATAGAATCAATAACAATTTCAACAGAGGGATTTGCTGTGGGACAAGTTGCTCAAATTTCGTCAACTAATTGGAACCGCAGTTACAATTTTGATTCGCAGCACATGTCAGGGAGCAGGTAACATTATTATTATTGATCTCGGTTTACGAATGAAATTGTGTACAATTGACATTTTGTCGTTGACACACGCATTTGATTATGTGTTTGATGACGTAGAAACTTCAATTGCATACAAGTCACTGATATATATGTAAATAATTCCTTCGTATCGTGATATGCGCGATGTGCAAAGTTTATATATTATTATTGATATTATTACTGATTTAAGCATCCTACTGTCCTTGACTGTACATAATAAATTATTAATAAGTAATGCTATATCTGCATAGTATGTACAAATATGCACAAATAATTTGACGGTCCAACAAAAAATAATAAAATAATTCGACGATAAATTGCACATTATATTTAATCGTGTAACTATAATGTATAAACACTCTCACAATTGATAGCTACGTGTAGGAGGACTACTGGAAAATTTTGCAAAATTCGCGACCGTGAAATTTATGATAATATATTCAAATAAATCGCCCCGTTATAATCTATCCTCTCTCCTCGATATATCATTCCTCTTCACTTGTCCTATGGATATCTAAATGAGCGAGCATAAAGAGAGCGAGATCGAGGCGGAGGTCGATATTGACTCATGGCGTACCGAATAATGCGTGATGACATGAGTTTAAAATAAACCAACATGCACAACGCCCATCATTCCTGTGGCGCCCACGTAGCCCTGAAGAGCTACCTTATCGTAAATATCATCGCAATCCCTTCTTATCGTTACAAAAGGGTCGGAATATCGATAGTTAATGTCAGTAGGTGGCAATCAGAAAAAAAGAAAGGAAACGGATATACGTATATCAGACTAATGGAAATTGCAAATAATCTCGAAGAAATATAATGAACAATTCGAAAAGAAAAAAAATATTATCTTTTTTTTTGTAAATAGTCGCTGTTACGAGAAGCTAAAAATATCTTCGTAACTGACGTCAATTAAGCGTTTTATAGGTGCGCGTGTAGCAGTACGTTTTAATTTACAGGATCAGTGTTTTACATTGCAAACGATTTAAACAGAAATATAAGTATTTGGCATCCTACTACATTTTTTTTTTTAAATAAATCATATATACTCTGTGTATGTATATGAAAAATAAAATATATATTTTAAGAGAAAAATAAAATGTATTTTAGCTAATAAAAAATAAAATATATTTGATATAGAAAAGAGAGAGAACTAGCAATATTAAAAATGAAATAATTAATAACACTTCACACGATGAACGATAATTGGCGTAGATTATATCGCTTACAGGCTTACACAATTCATAATGATATTACGCGGTTTAGCAAATTTGCTATATTTGTAATATTATTTGAGTGTGTCAATCAATATTAGACGTTGCTCAACAATTTCTATTGGGATGAAAATTCAATGCGATCTGTATTTCAAGATAAACGAATATTTCAAAGCGTAAGGTATGAACGAGAGAGAGAGAGAGAGAGAGAGAGAGAGAGAGATAGCAAAATGCTTTGAACTTAAAGGATAACAATACAAGGTAACACAGAAGAACAACCTTCATTTTCCACAATGTTAGTCGAGTTACTCAACTTGAAGTATTTGTATAAAGAAGAGCATATAAAAGTGACATATGACATAGCACAATGACGTATCTTGATAACAGCTGATAAAGAATTATATGAGCATAAAAGCGTATATTGTTTGCACGTGTCAGTACTTGACTTTGCAACAAATGTTATACAATATAAAATTATATATATAATAGATTATGTAAAATATATAATGTAAAAAATTTTGATTAGATAAATATAAAAAAAATACATATATAAAAATGTAAAAGATAAAAAGAAAAAATACTTTATTGCTTAAAATTATAAAATTGTATTTTTATGAGAGTACTTTTAAGTTATAATATTCTTAGATATACGTACAAGATGTCCCAAATCATTGGATATTCCCTTAAAAGTAGCCAATTTAAAAATAATTTTTCTTTAGCGAAAATGTTAAGAATTAATAATTTCTAAATATAAGTGATTATATAAAAAAAAAGGAATGCTTTTAGCAAATTAAACTTTGTGGAATATAAAAAGTTAACAAGATTATATCCCGCAATTAATTTCTTAGATGGAATTTACTTTAATAAAATTTTAATTTAAAGTCTAGTTACAAAGGTATATGATGAAAGAAATTAGAAACTTACAAGAAATCATGATCTTTTTTTTCCACATTTCCTTTGACCTCGACATTTTTGATAAAAACAAAAAATTGTCTCCAAATTAGCTAAAAAATCTACTGTTAAATGAACATCCGGTGGTTTTAGGATACCCGATATATACAATGATTGTTCAAAAACTTAAGAAGTGCAATTTATACTCAATCAAGTAAATAAAGCTATTTATAATTAAATGTAAATTGCTGTACGCAAAATATTTCAAATTGACATATTAAAAAAAAAACTGGCGTTAACTACATTTCTTGGTAACTTTTTAATTTATCTGCTTAAATAATCTGACAATATCAAACTACAAATAAAATTTTTATTAAAATCTTGACACATCTGAAACAATACAATTATTAATTTCTCGATATTGAAATAATTATTATTCCTTTCATCGTTTAGTATTTCCTATTAAAAGGAAAGCGGAGAACAATGTCCAATGCATCGTAGAAAGTTATAATGATCCTGAAAAATAAATGATGCAGCCGCACAGGAAAACGACGAGATAGCCGAGCCTGAATTAGGACAGTAGGTTAAGAGAACTGGTTGCACAATATCAAACGTCATTACGAGATAAGAGCGATAAGTAAATGTATCAGAATGTGTTGCTTGATTGAGAAGAAGAGCGAGAGAGAGAAAGAGAGAGAGGTTAAAATCTATTTTTGGCACGATAAAATTCCCGTACACGAAGGAAACGGAAATTGGTTTTACGATCCTTTTCGGAAATCCGCAGATTCGAGGAAAAATCATTCCTCCCAATAGCCATCGTTCACGTAGAAAATCCGATCGAATTTATTTCGTTGGAAAGTCGACTTATCAATATACGCTCCGCACGTAATCCGGTTTGGGCCGCGCTGATTTTTATCGTAGTAACACTCGGCGGTCTACAGGGTGTTTTAAAACTGCTGATACTCATTCGGGGATCATCGTAAATTAGAGCTCATCCGTGTTCGATAAATAGATGTAACGTGTCTCAAAACTATTAATGCGTTACTTTCATTTGTGGAATGGCAATTTATTAGCTATTTATATCGTGTCTCATTTCGTGAATTTCTATTTTGAATGTTATTCATTCATTAATTCAATCTGCTATGCAATGGTATCTTCTCAAAGTGTCCGATGAATTGAATCGTAATTCGCATTTAAATGAAATTGTCACATTCTTGTGCGACAGCGAATCTCTCGCAGCATCGGATCGTGCCAGAGGAGAGCCCGAGATGAGCCATCGCGATCTTCGTCCAAGCATTCGTCAGGGAGAACGTGACGAGATAGCGAGTCGCCGGATTACGAAATAAGAAAATATTCAGCCGCTTCTGTGTGTCTGCCGAGTATCGATGCAACGAGAATTTCACACTTCCTTCTCGCTCAGTCGAAGCTCTCCTGCTCGAGGTGTATTGTCCTCTCGCGAATGAAAAGAGGATCATAGCCGCTCGGACTTGTCGAACGCAGCATTACGTGCCTGTAAAGACCCTCCCTCCTCCCCGCCCTCTCCCCTTTCCCTTCTGCTCATAATTCCGTAATGTTTCCAATTCCAGAGGCTTAACGGTG